CACCTGTGCCAGGGGATGCGCTGCCCCTCGCAGCGGCGGTGTGGTCAGTGGGAGGCTGAGGGTCGGTGCTGCGAAATTTACAGTATATGCTCGTTCTCAGAAACAGTTGCATCTCGAATTAGGGGCGTCTCCAAGCGCACCTTCAAAACTAGCAAAGTGTTTCTGGCTGATGTCTTCCAGAGTCATGAAGAAGATGACAGGAAAGTAAGGAGGAGAGAAAAAAATCGAGTTGCCGCACAAAGGAGCCGGAAGAAGCAAACTCAGAAAGCAGATAAACTTCACGAGGTGAATGAGTGCTCGGTGTTTTGCAGGCTTGGGTATTGAGTGCGGGACTTTACAGTAAATGGGACTCGTTAAGCAGGCGTGGACCTGTCTTCACACTAATCCATCTCAGAGAGCTGTGGGTGTGAGGCAGAGACAGGCATGCTGTGGGATGCCTGGCCGGGAACTTCCAGACACTGATGCTCCCGTTGGACAGTGCAACTCTGCCATTGGTGACACTGCCAGGGAGAGAGAGATGTGATCCTGCCCCGAACTCACCCTCCCTCCTTTGCTGTTCCGTGTCTACCCAATGAATAGGGTCACAGGGCTCCTCTGCACTGAAACAAACCTATTTTCTTCTGGATTAGTGTTAAACTTGTTGCATTTGCTATGGCAGTGGATGAATCCTTGCTTACAAGGGAGAAGGCGATGGAGGAGGAAGGGACCATGCAGTGGCAGTGCTGGCTTAAATCAGTTCTAAAACTATGGTGCCAGCACTGCCACTAAGCAGCATGGCCCCCAGAAAAACCCAGTTGAAAAGGCTTCTTAAAAACTTCAAAACCTGCAAACATGTGAGGTCGGCTTGGTTAGCTGTTATATTTGTATGTTCTGATAAATAACACTGGGTGTTTCCACACAAAAAAAAAAACAAACCAAAAAAACCCAAATACAAAACATGAAAGTAACTGATTCTTCCAGAAACTCTTACTATTACAATGTGGTGTAGTTTTCTTGTGTTCCCAGTGCAAACACTGGAGGAAAGGAATCCCCTTTGTCTGGTGTTGGATGTTACCTCACACAACAATGCTTTTGTTGTAGCTAGGTAAGTGTCAGCTTTTGGGGTAAGTGTCACTTCTGCTGCAGTGATTGTGGCTGAGTCAGTTGTTCAGCTCTGAAGGTTCATCACAGTTTTTTTCTTTCTCAGTGTGGAAGGATCTGCCAACAGTCAGCAGAGACCAAGAGATACAATGTGGGGAGTTTTGGGCTTGGTTTTTCCCAGATCTCCTCTGAGTCAGTGCCTGAGAAAGCCAGGTGCAGGGTACTTCTGAAAAGGGGTAACCCTGGCTTTTTCTGGGCCCTGTGCCATCCTGCAGCCTCTCTGATGTTCCTCCTGAACTTGAGGATCTACCTCATGCTAGGAATCTTTGTTATCAGGCACACAGGTTTTCCCAGGTGCAGGCAGATCTGGTTGAATAGGCATTCAACAGGCATTCATTGGGCATTAATTTTTAGCAAGAAGAATTTGATAGTCTCATCCCTGAAAATGGGACAGAGCAATGGGAGAGTAACAGTTACTCCAAAACCCAGCCTCATGGGGTTTGGGGCAACAAGGAATGAGCAGAGCCAGAATCAGGGTTGGACAACTTGGTTAGAGTTCAATTACAATAGTGTGTTAGGAGAACTGTGCCTGTTTACTCTGTGTGTGAGAGGTGGTGGAAGGGTGTAAGGGAGGGCCAGGGATCCAAAGTTCTGCAGCCAAGGGAAGCAGAGGCAGTGCCAGGCTGTCCAGTGGAGCAGCATTGCATGAGAGGCTCTCCCTGCTACCTGAGAAACAGGTCTTTTGAGGCATGTGTAGACTTTGAAGTTTGCTCTGAAGCTTTCCTAGGGAAGTGAGATTGAGTGGATGAATGTTGAGCCTTGGGCCAGCAATGAAACACCTGGAGGTTTTCTGTGGGCTGGCTCTGAACCTCTAGCTCTTTTCTCTTTGGGATGAGAATGTTTGGCAGCAGGGACACTTGAGACACGTAGTTATCAAAAGATGTGACACAAGAGTCTTGCATCCATCACAGGTGTAGGCTGCAGAGCAACTCAAAACTCTCCTGCAGTTAACAGCAGCTAGTCTATTGCCAGTAAAGCCTTAGCTCAAAAGCAGCCCAGGTCAGGGATAACCAAGGCAGTGGTCAGGCCTTTTGGTGACAAAGTGAGTCTGGCAGCAAGCTGGCATGACACTCCCCTCGTCCTGCTCCTGAGTTCTTGGGCATCTGAATAGTGGGCTACAAGCCCTGGCTGGCCTGGAGGAGAGCACTGGACACATTATGCTAGGTGTGCATCTCAGCTGGCACCTGGGTACATGGCTATTCCCTGCACTGGCTCAGGGCAGGAGCTGCTCTTTCCTCACCAGCAATGCCAGGCACTGGGTTTTCCCACCACCCATCTGTAGCTGGTGCTTTCATTTTCTGTGATCTGACAGTGAGGAGTCCAGCTCAGCCCTTCCTGGCAGAGGCAGCCCAGAGCTGGAAGAGGCCACCATGAGGATGCAGCCACCCATGCCTGCAGCTGTGGTCTGCTGGGGGACTCCTGAGCAGCAGCACCTCCTGATCTTCAGGGCCATAAAAGGAATCACAGTGTGGTCAGGGCACAGGTCACAAAGCATTTGCCCTGTTCCAGCACCCAGGCTGTGTCTGTTGTTACTTAACATTTTGCGTGTTTCAGTAAGAAACCACACAATTTTTCTACAGCTATGTGAATGTTCTTAAGGTGGAAGCATGGAAAGGAATGTTTTGGCTATGAGTAAGCTTTTTTTTTCCCCCTCCTTCCAGGAATATGAGTCTCTTGAGCAAGAAAATACCTCCCTGAAAAGAGAAATTGGAAAGCTAACAGATGAAATGAAACACTTGAGTGAAGTGTTGAAGGATCATGAAAAGATCTGTCCACTATTGCACTGCACCATGAACTTTGTGACCATACCAAGGCCCGATGCACTCGCCAGCTGCCTACCAAGATGAGTGATTTCCTCAGTCACCTTTAAATGTGATGTGTGAAAGTGCCACTAATAGGAGCTTTGAAGAATGGCTTAATCATGCTGTAGGTCTTCCATCAAAGAGGGCTGGACTTGACCATGCAGGTCTTCACCATGTTGAAGTGTTACAGTCTTCTGAATCTCAAGAAAACACCAGTCTGGAAAAAAAAGACAATTTGAACAGCAACTTCTTACTTGGAAGAATCTTCAAGCTATGGTTTTGCATTCAGAAATGTCAAAGTGTGGTGCAGCCCACTATTGAGCAATGGAATGTAGACAGGGAAAAGTGCCGACCTTGGACTGGGATGCCTTTCTCCCACACATCCACTGCCAGTAACCCTTTGTCACTTGTCATCCATGTCTACCATGTTCTGGCTGCTGTTTTTTATTTCTCTAAACAGGTTTGGTTAATAAAAGTGATGTCCCGTCTTTATTAGGCTCCTGACCTTCTTCAATAATCAATGTCTTTATAGTGTCTCTACTTTTTCTTTGCTGGCCAAATCCAAAGTCTAGTTTTTGCATATCACCTCTTCACTGGTTCCTCTTTTGAAGTGTGTGTAACAAAAGAATTTTCTTAGTGTATTTCTTTAATATCCCCAATCATCAGCCCTGTTGACATTAGTTCTTGGAGTGTTTTATATCCTAAAATATGGTTTAATTGGTTTCTAGTGATGATTGTCTGCTCTGCATGGAAAAAGAGCAGAGTCAGCTGGTTTTACACATTGTTTTAAACATCAGGTTTTAAAATTACTCTTTCAATGCACCCACTGTGAAAATGAACAAACATATTTGTCCTTCCTGCATTTTGCTTATTGCTTCTGGAAAATTATGTCCATGGATAGAACAAATTGAGTTTAGCTAAGCATTTTGTTCTGTGTCCATACTGAAGGTATTTGAAAACTGCTTGCGACAAAACCATTATGTTTTATTCAACTTTTTTCCAACTAGAAAAAGGAATTATGATGACAATATGAGTGAGAAATACACCGAAAATTGTCTTAACTTTCTCTGAAGATTCTTAGTAGTGTCAAGCTCTAGAAATGTGAATGCTGTAGCCTGGGATCCAGCAAAGATTGTTTTTCTCACAGGATTTCCCAGTTGAAGAGCACCCTTGGATAATAAAAAGCTCCACCCCTTTGCCAACTCTCTCACTTCAGCATTTGGATTTTTTTCAGTTCAACTCATGGGATTAATTTCACCTCTCACCCGGATTGCAGTATTTATTGGCAGAATATGGTCTCAAATATATGAATTTTTTTTTTTTTTTACTTTGTTAGCTTCTTTAGTAGAATGATGCATCGCTGATCACTGCCTAGACAGAACTGGGAAAACTGTGTAGTCAACTCTGCCTTCTAAAGGGCCCTCTTGTGCCATTGTCTTAGGCTAAACACTCAAGATAATAGGCATGAGGTGTGACTTGTTAAATTTTTCATTAGGGTTGTCTCCGAGAGGATTTTCAGCATTTGCATAAACAGTGTACAGCCTAAATGCAGTCTTCGAAGTTTCTTACAGACCTGTAAGAACTGAGTCATCCTGCAAAGATAATCTGCTGCAGCCCCTGCCAAGGAAAACACAAGTTTCAGTACAGTGCCAGACAATAATTTTGGATAATGTCCTTGATATGACTCTGTGTGTCACCCTTAAGAAAGGAAGCTATCTTAAGCATCTTCATCTATGCACCCACATTCTTGCAGGCTCTGGATGCCACTATGTAATTTGGACAGAGTAGAGATGTAATGGAGAAGGAGCAGCATAGTGGAAATGAACAACATTCACTCTGGGAAAATTCATTATAGCTTAGGATGGAGGTAGAGAGAGAATGTCTCACATCTCATAACCAGGTGTGTGCAACTCAGCTGAGACTGGAAGGTATCTAGTTGAGGTCAGGACTGATGCAAAAGCATGGTGTCTGGTGTCTGGGCCCTGCAGACCCTTGAAAATAGGAGGAAAGACCAACCATCTAGTCCAAGACAGTCCATCCCAGAAGAATCCGTCTAAAGATTTTTGTCCTACAGGTGCTTGTTTCTAGAAGTAGAGGTCTAGTTTCCTGTGTAAAATCCTTCTCCTTACACATACAATATTCTAAACATCTGTCTGGAAACTGACTCCAGCTTACCATTTGGTATCACATCCGTGTTCTATTGCATACTCCTCATCAGTAAGCACTATTCTTGTGCTGCAAAAAAAGTTTTAGTCCACAGTTTCTGCATTGGAGTTTATTGGTTTATGAATTGTATAATGTCTATGCAGAGTGTACAGGGAAAGACAGCTGAATTTGCATCAATGTTGTGTGATGGCAACAACCTAAGCCCAAGGATATGTTGCTATTCCTTGGAAGGGCTGGGAGCCCTGCAGAAGCCCTCACTGCCCCTAGTTTCTTCCCACAACCACAGGGTGTAGCTTCAGCCTGTGCATCACATCCATTAGTAACCACAGGCATTGTACCCTCTGGGATCTGGGCTGCTTCTTCCTCCATCTCTTGCATCACTTTTTTTCCCAGCAGTATTTCCAAAGGGTTTTATGCATCATTCTTCTGTTTAATAGCTTAACTAAGGTATATTATGCAACTAATGTTCAAAAACAGCTGGAAAAGAAGTAAGCAAAACAAGTGCCCCAAGCCAAATCAATCCAACATTCTGATATATTTCATGTCAGAACTGAATCATGGGTTAACAGGGCCAATGAACAGTTAAAGGCTTATGTAACCCTAAGCATATGATGCACATGCACACTGACTGCACTCTTTGCAGGAACTGTTCATAAGGATATTGATTTACAGTATGTTTCAAAACAGAAAGTATGTCCTGGAGCCTGGGATAATTCTTACATGAATAGGGAACCAGAAAGGAGAACAGAAAGGAAAAGACCCATTTGTTAAGGAAGCAACAGAAAGTTCTTTTTCAAATCCGAACCTCTCCTTTTGCAGCAGAGTATTGCACCATCAAAAAGATGTTTCATACCTTTATATGGCTAAAATACTACTTGATGTACTCTAGCTTCAGAAAGTTTCCAGTTGGTTTGATTTGATCCCCACAAAAATGTGGTTTGTATTACATTCACATGATTTTCAGATGCAAGTGTATTGGGAAGATATTTTCTATGTTCAGGTTGTGGTTCATGTGAAGCATACTGTGAATTACAGTCTTGTTTGTGGATGTGTAACATAGATGAGGGTTGCTAAGAAAGCTGGATTTTGCCTCTTAGGTTCACAATGAATGTTACAGTTTGTCTAGATTCCATTAGTGTGGATTTCCTGTTTGTAGAAGCAAAATGCTGAGTGCAAACAGATAAAAGTAACAATTCCAGGCGGAGACTGGGTCCAAGTCAGCTATTCATTCATTTCTTTGGGTTGTTGTTGGGTCAGATTTAAATTGATCAAATTTAAAAAAGATAATCTTAGCCTTCAAAGTTAACATAATCAACAGAAATACAAAGCCAAGCTTCCCAAAACTGCTCATGTGAGTATAACAGACATCAATTATTATGCCTCGAGAGAGCTTATTAGAAAGCCTTGCTCCTAGCTGCTGCTATTTTGCATTCTTGTCTGTGAACATTTACAAGTGTCTTCATATACTCATCCAGAGTCTTGCTAAAAGTACATATTTTCTAAAAACATATTTAAAACAGCCTGTCCTACAGACTTCCTGTTCTCTCCCTGGTGCTGGTTACTGTCTTTTAGTGCTCCTTCTGTAATGCCTGTTGATCTCATCTGCATTTGGTATTTGCAGTAGCCTTTGTATTCTCTCACTATTTTACTTCAAATGCCACCTTTTTTGTTTCCTTCTTTTTGTTTTCTTCTGTTCCTATGTGGCTTGGTGACATCACCACTTAATGGAATCAGTATTAGAGGAAAAAGGCTAATCTGTAGGAGCACATAGAAATTGCACTTCACTAGGACACCCCATATATGATTAAAGGCTTTTATGTGTGGTTAGTTTTGTCAGTTGAATATTAAGGAAGGTGTCTGTGTAGTCTTTTAAAATGTACTTAGAAGTGACATAACCTTTACTGTAGCCTATAAACCCCATACTGTTTCCTGTCCATAGATGAATGCTTTGCTGCATGGCATTTGGGGTTTCCATCTGTGAATCAGTCTAGAAATTCTGTCTCAGTGAAAGTGATAGATAAAACAACCATTGAAAAAGAAGAAAAATCCCTTTTCAGTTCTTCCCATCAGTGCAGAGATGTAATTCCTGTTACAGGAAGGAAGCATGTCTGATAAGCGGGAGAAGTGGTGGGTTTATTTACTGTTACAAAGACTAATGTTATACTCTGTGTAGACGGGTAGGAGTTTTCTGTTTGTAAACTCTGAGTTACTGTCAAGTGGCCAGTGGAGAAATATCTTGCATGTACATATGGCATGTGGTGTGGGCACACATCCTTAAGGGAGCAAAAAAATTTGGATTAATTCTTTGCAGCAACATGGGATTTGCACTGATTTCACTGGAAGTAGAAACAGTCATACAGCTGCCTCAGAGGACGTGCAGCATTGTACTTACTCACTTGGGTTAATATTTAACTCCAGAATAGCTACAAACTAACTGGAAGGGTGTAATTCTTAATAAAGAAACCATAGTAACAATCATCCCTGGGGTTGCATACTCTTTTTTTGGCATTCATTCAAGTTGTTTTCCTAGATAGCTCCTATGGAAAAAAATCTGCAAGGAGAGCGTAGGATTTTTTTTCCTCAGCGTAGCATTTTTAAATCATGACATCAAATTTAAGGGCTTGACTATTCTGAAAATAGTTAGCATAGTTTTTGCAAATAACCTGTTCTCTACTAGTTGTGTGTTTGGTCTGCTGTAAGGGAATCATTATAGCTCTTTTTAAAAGTGGATAAATTAAACCACAATGACTACTGTACTTCAATGTCACCTCTTATCTCACCCTGAAGCAGCTTCACCATGTAGTCAAATAGGAAATGACATTGGTAATAGGTGTGTTTGCTTTATATCTGCACTAGAAGAACTTTTATTGTATGTTAGG